GGTAGTTTATGAAAGGTAGTGTTGAGGGTGATCCCAGAAAGAAGAAATGTAGGAAGAGAGAAAATGAGGCAGATTTAAGTGAGAAAAAGCAATATGGCCTATTATTGGGCTGGTTACTGTTGTGGCTGATTGAGGATTGAGCATTGTCTTATGGATGCTCAGAGAAATCATATAAAATGCATCCAGAGATGCCCCTCTGAAAGGGTGGGAGCCTGAGGCATTTCTCCAGACTCATCTCTCATTGGCTGGGGATTGCCCCAGGGGCGCCAATTTTCACTGGGAAGAATGAGCTTGCAGAGAACTCTCCACTGCAGCTGTGGCTGAAATCAGCAGTGGATCATGGATGTGTCATGAGGCACAAAGCTATCTGCTACAGGAGATAAATAATACCCGTGTCCTAGAGCTATTGTGAAAATTAGATGAAGTGCTGTCTATAAAATGTCTAGCATTGTGCCTTGCTCAAAGGTAAGTACTAAGTAAGCGTTCATTTGATTGTTGCGGCTGCTGTTGTGATCATTATGATTATTATCATTGTATGTTCATGAGTGAGACTGACAGGTGAATATATGACTTAGAGGGTTCCAAGAATGACATATAGTCCTCAGTTTATCTCTTCTATGCCACAGCCTATATGATTTACCATGACCAATGATTTACCATGACCAGTGGCCAATCGTTGTGATTATTAGGGGTCGTTACACTACTTTTACTTTCTCACCCTCTTTTTGATGTTTTGTCAAAATTTGGGCTCAAGGAGAAGACATATTCTGTTAGTTGTTTGTAATGGAAAAAAGGTTGCTATTATCCTAGAGCAGCACTGTCCAATAGAACCTTCCACAGTGATGGAACTGTTCTATATCTGTGCTGTCCAAGACAATAGCCACTAGCTGCATGTGGCTATTGGGCACTTAAAACATGGCTAGTTCAGCTGAGGAACTGAATTTTTAATTTTATTGAAAGTTCTAGTTAATTTATATCCAAATGCAAATAGCCAAATGCACACACAGGGAAGGGCAATTACAGATACTGTTCGAAGTAGATAGTGGAAGGGCCTCTTTCCTGGGAGCTGAAATTAAGGTGATGCAGCCAGCAATGTATTTCCTCCAGCCCCTGGGCCTGAAGCCCACGAGACCTGACTTCCAGGTTGGTGCATGGTGGTATCACCCAGACCAAAGGGCTGCTGGCTGAAGAGAATGTCCCCATGATGTTGTGAAGACGTGGAGCCAGTAGAGGTTGGAGGGGGAGAGGTGACAACCTCCACTCAGCTTTGGCCCATTGTTTTGTGTGCAGAGCCAATTGCCAACCCCTTTGCAGGGGAGAGCTTCATTCTCAGCTGCCCTAAAATGAGGGAAAGATTAAAGAGAAGCCCACCCACCCAGTGTTCTTTATTTCCTAAAGGTTACATTACCCTAGAGACAAGATTCTTGGATGGACACGGTGGCTTATGCCTGTAATCCCAGCACTGTGGGAGGCAGAGGCGGATGGATCACCTGAGGTCAGGAGTTCAAGACCAGCCTGGCCAACATGGCGAAACCCCTTCTCTACTAAAAGTACAAAAATTAGCTGGGTGTGATGGTGGGTGCCTGTAATCCCAGCTACTCAGGAGACTGAGGCAGGAGAATCCTTTGAACCCAGGAAGCAGAGGTTGCAGTGAGCCGAGATTGTGCCACTGCACTCTGGCCTAGGCAACAAGAGTGAAACTCTGCCTCAAAGATTTTCATTTAAGTACGATTAGCTCCAGCATCACCTCCTCAGGCTGGTCATCACTTCTATCCTCCCTTTGGCTTCTGTGTCCTAGAATTGACCACTTTGCTAACTGACTATTCACTTGTCTACTTTCTCCATTAAACCACAAGCTCCATGAAGGCAGGTGCCATGCCATCTACCCTAGCACAACACCTCAAACACAGTCAAATACTCAACAATACTGACAACAAGGGCAACAGGAGTGGAGAGAGGAAAAAGGCTCCTATTTCCTGAAGTCATTCACAGACCTTATGGAATTCAAGCTGGACCTTGACAGAAAAGCAAGTTTAGTTACTCAAGGAGTTGTGTAATGACATTTCAGAGGGAGTAACATCAGAAGCAAAGTGGGGAATAGCCAGGCATGGTGGTGGGTGCCTGTAATCCCAGCTACTTGGGAGGCTGATGCAGGAGAATCACTTGAACCCGAGAAGTGGAGATTGCAGTGAGCTGAGATCACGCCACTGCTCTCCAACCTGGGCAACGGAGTGAGACTCTGTCTAAAAAAAAAAATGTAAAAAGCAGCAAAGACAGGGAAGTGGGATGAACTCACAGCACAGTGAAGGAGACAGGATGAACTGGAAAAGAGGGTTTGGAAGGCAAGATGGGATTAGCCAAGTGCGGCCTGACTCTCAAGTTGAAATTGGACGTGATGTGGTTGACAAGAGCACTATGAACCAGAGAACCTTGGGTTTCTGAATGTGGTGAAAGATGAGGTAACATCAATAAATCTGTTAAGATGTGGTTGGCATCAGTTGCTTTTTGCCTTTAACTTTCAATCCTGCCTCCTATAGCAAAAGCACTTCAATTTCCTTAGAACCACTGTTCTGCCCACATGGCCCAATGACTCTACCTCTATCCCTGGGTCCAGGGGTGGGCGAGCACAGGAACCAGATCTAGCCAATAGTGTCTTAGGAAGGGTTCCAGGGATATAGGTAGAGGCTTCTACTAGAGCTGTTGTTATCTTTCTTCCTTGATCGCTAAACTGTTGAGATGTAAACCTGGGCCTGCTGACACCATCTTGACGCTGCAAGGCAAGAGTCTGAGAATTAAACCAGCATAGAGAAGAGCATAGCCAAGGGGTGACAGGGACATCCCATGACATCCTCTAAGCACCTGGATCCAGCTGGGCTTGAAGTGGGACCTATTTTGGGGCATTAGGTTTCTGTCACTTGCAATCAAAGAAGTCCTAATTAATGAATACTCAGGGTCAATTGGGTGAAAGTGGGAGAAGATGAGCATCAGAATGGCCATACCAGCTGGTGTGATGGGAATTCAGACATGAGACACTGAGGGTCTCAACCAGGGCGTTTGGGGACTAAGGAGAAAGGAGGCGAGTTAAGAGGTGAGCAGGAGCTATCTAGCGGTTTCCTTTCTTCGAAGGTTGCTGTCAAGTAGAGTCTAATGGTTCTTTACCACCTCTGCCTTCATGACGCCCCTTTACCTCTTTCATTTTTCTTTTCTTTTTTTGAGATGGAATCTCGCTCTGTCACCCAGGCTGGAGTGCAGTGGCATGATCTTGGCTCACTACAACCTCTGCCTCCCCAGTTCAAGCAATTCTCATGCCTTAGCCTCCTGAGTAGCTGGGATTACAGGTGCCCACCACTACACTTGGCTAATTTTTGTATTTTTAGTAGAGGTGGGGTTTCACCATGTTGGCCAGGCTGAACTTCTAACCTCAAGTGATCCGCCTGCCTCAGCCTTCCAAAGCACTGGGATTACAGGCGTGAGCACTGTGCCCAGCCTCTTTCATTTGTTTTTGACCATTTTGTGAGATAAATGAGTCAGGTATTCTTGTCCCCACTTTATAGTGGGAGAAGTCAAAGGACTTGCCCAAGGTCGTATGGGAGCGCTGGGGTCTAGTTCTGGTTCTCTAGTGCATGCTAATGCTTGAGCACAGGTGGATTGAACTCCCCAGGCACTGTCTTTCTGTTGCTTCATAGTAGAGATGCAATACCCTGCTCCCGCCTGTTCTTATGACTTCCAGGGAGAAACAGCAGTAGTTCTTGCTGAGGAAATGCCCAGGAGCCCATGGCCTTCTTCATTAAAATAAATTCTGCCTGAGTCTCCTGGTTCTAAATAGAAGAAAATGTAGATGTGGGACAGAACCGAAGGGAAAGGGATTTCCCTTGGCAAATTATTTGCAATTTGTGGATTGGAGCTGACCCAGCTCCAATTCCCTCTGTCATTGTAAGCGCCGTCTACAATGTGACCAGCTTATTAAAGAATGAGAACTGGAGGCAGTCCTCCCGCGGGGCACAACAAAACAGGAGCAGAGTCAAAGCCCAGCAGCGTCTTCCTCAGTGTGGCATGTCTAGTTGCTGGCTAGATTCTCACCCTTCAGTTACATGTTCATGCCTAGGCAGTCACTTCTGGAGGCTGTGGGAAGAAGAGCGAGAATATTTACGAGTGTTTGTGCCTTTCCTTTGGCAGTGTGAAAAGCTAGCTGTCATAAATACTGTAGTGGTCCTCAGACTATAGCATGTAACAGAATGCATGTTCCTGAGTCACTGCCAGGGATTCTGAGTTCATGGGTAGCTCAGGATCTGCCTTGTAAAGAGGCATTCCAGGTATTAACACTTCTGAAGCAAGTGGTCCATGGACCACAGTCTCAGAAACACTGATGTCAGTGGAACACTAGTGTGCAAACTCCAAGTGGTCCCGTTCATCCATGGTTTAAAGATGCTGCTGTTGCTGGCACAAGTCCCAGGAGATCCAGTGTTTCCTTCTTTACTAACAGGGTCTGTTACTGGCATAATCTGAGGGACATTCGAAAGTCTTTTCTTGACTGAGAAGATCTCTGAGGAGCAGCTGCATCTAGAGTTCTAAGGACTTAGCTTCTCCTGTACTCCTTTTAAATCACGGATAGCTACAGAGAATAGCACTTCTGTTGTTCAGTTTTTATTTTTCCTGAGGGAAAAAGCCCACTGTGGCATACCTGCAGCAAGTGAGAGTGTCAATACAGCTCCTCTGTCTGCATAGTCCACCCTGTCACAGAGCCCTGGACTCTCCTCACAGCTCCCACCTTTCTCGGTCTCCAAAGGCTCTACCCTAGATGTACAGACCCAGTAAGAAATGCTTTTAGACTGTCAAGTGAGGTTTTTCTTCTTCAGGACATCTCTATTAACAAAATCCTAAAGAAAATCAATGGATTCCTATTTCCCCATCCATTCGTACCATCAGGTCCTTCTCCAATTAGCGACAGAATCAGTGGGGTGAGGTGGTCCACAGGCCTCCACAATGAAATTGACTGCATATGAAATGAATCTGAAAATTCCATTTATTAAAACACATACATTGTCCATGTGGGATGAAAATGTGCACATCACATTCAGGTTTTCCTGCTTTAACATTTCTGTAGTTCTCTCTTTGAAACACACACTCCACAGATCTTATATAGGAAAAATGTGAACAACTTTTGGGCTGCAAAACATTAATGCATACGTAACAATTCATCATTGCCAAGAGCAGCTAGAAGCAAATATTTAGGAAGAAAAAGAAGTATAAAAATTCCTAGAGACAGCATGCTTTATTTTCTCAAAATTCCATATGTGACTATGAGTGTATGGAGAAATCGTTTGTTGTTTGATTTTTAAATGTATTGTTTAATTTGTCCTTGGTAGGCAATCTCCTTCAAATATTATTAGCAAAATCAGACATAGATCAAAGTATTTATTTGCATCTTCTGACTGAAATTAAGCAGTACTTGGTTTCAAATGTTTTAAAAATAACACCTTTTAAACTGGAGTTGATATTGAAGATCATGTAAAATTGTTCTTTATAGACTTTGTATTCTAAATATGAAGTTTATTGTTACTACTTATTAGTTAATTCCATGGCAGATTTTCATTACTATTGAATATATTATACGTAGAAACTAGGGTCTTAAATAATTAAGTTGACTTTTCCTGTTAGTTATTCCTTAAGATAAAATTATGCTGGTGATGGGACTGTTGAATTTCTCAAGAAATTAAACTCTTTAGAGGCATAAGTAATCGAAAGACTGTTTCCCCTGAATAAGTACAAATACCAATAAGCCAAAACTCATATAAAGATTTTCGTATTATAATTCCATACTGTAAGACATAAAATTATGAAAAAGCCAAAACATTTTCCTGAAAATGCTCCCTAGAAATTGTAATTCCATCTTAACTGCTCCAAAGATCTAGATTTACATGGAAATATAAAGAGTCCTTCTGAGAAAAGGAAATGCTGTGAATAGTGGAAATCGTCTGGGCCTTCTAATGATGCCTTAATCACTACCAAAGAGTGCTTTATTCATTCATGCTTGTTTTCATGTGACCACATATTCAATTCATGCTTTGCCCATTTAAAAACCGTGATATGTTTTAGCTTATGCCACAGTGTTACTAAGCTAATTGTACAATGCTGTAGTTTAATAAATACTCTGCTGTTTCTTTCACCCCTAAATCTTCATGGGTGTCCTGACTGTAACAAAAACCCCACAATTTGAAGAGAAGCATCTGGTTACAGAAGTGCATTGATACATTTCACAAATGTTTCAGTATCTTCTTCTCCCCGACCCCAGCATGAGCTTTAATTGGATGTATTTATTCTTTCACCCACATGCCCATGAAGGAGCTAAGGAAAACATTTACCAAGTCTGTTTCAAAATCTGTCCTTGGCATAGCAAATCTTTTTCTCTTCCTTTTTCATGCCTTAAAAAAAAAGAAAAAGAAAAAGAAAAAAAAAAACAGGAGAAAGAGAATAGAGAGGAAAGAGGGGAGAATAAAATTAATTGGGAGATGGAGATGGTATTTGGGGATTTGAAAGCAAACAAGATGTAAGAGAGGGCCTCTTTGACTGAAAATGACACAGAAAAAGGTGATCAAGCCTTCCAGGGCCTGCTGTTACTGATGGAGACTACAGCTACAATGAAAAATTACTCTCACTACCATATCTTGGGAAAGGAGCACTCTAGTTGCCAGGAATTTGTAAATAAAGACCAAGAGACTCTAACAAACAAGATGGAGAACAAAAACAAAGATTCCATTAAAAAATGTGTTAAGTGAAAAACCAAGACCATCTCAGTGGACAGAAGAGCCAGAACTCTTCCTGGTAGAGCCGGCTGTGGGGGCCGCACCTGCTGCCCAAAGAGTGGCGATTCGAGGTCCTTCTGAAGAGCCCGAGTTCTGAGAATGGTCACCTTCTCTGGAGCTGTGGGTTTATTTCTTCCAATACTTGAACAAAGGAGGGCCATGGTTTTCTTCTTAAGAGCAGAAAAAATGTTCTTTTAATCTAGAATGTCCATGATTCAGGGAAGGAGGGAACTTGCTCATACTCATGGCAAAAGCACTTCCCAACTCATGGTGAATCCTTAACTCTCCTGCTTGGTGACAGCTGTGCTGCCCTGGGTCCCGGATAAACCAAAATGCTTTGGATTCTGGAAAACGTATTGAAGAGGCATTTATACCACTATTAACGCAGAGGTATTTTAGGCATGGCTAAGGCTCTGAAGTAATCTCAATTTTCAAAATACTGAGATTTCCTTTCCTCCCCAGGGTCTTTCCCCTCTCATTTCCTTTCCTGGCTTTAGAGTAAAACAACAAAACTTCTGAATGGATGTAACGTAGGGACATTTTCATGCAATATTACTCAAAAATTGTCACAAATATATGAAAGCACCAGTCACAACACATGATTTACTTTTACTTGCAGAATCAAAGCTATCATGTACACATGTTAGGAATAGTGAAAAGAGAACACAGACAACCGGCATTTTTTGTCATTGTTACCACGAGGATACACCATGGGGAACATCTCCCTAAACATTTCATGTGATCATTCTTGGATTTCAATCTGATAGACAAGTCCAGCCTTATCTCCACACTACTCTAATGGGAAGGGGTGGAAGGAGGGGTAGAGGAGAAGGAAAAAAGAAAAAGAAAGGCATAATGACTATACATCAATGCCATTAAACAGAATTTCGGCTTACACGGACAGCGCAGCTTATCAAAGGGTATTCTAAAGACAATATTCATTCCAAGAAGGTCATACATATCTTACCTCAGTACAGCTGTCTGTTTTAATTGTTATTCTTTAAAATATGAAGCAGAAACATGAGGATTTTGGGGGGGACTGGGGGATAGCAGAAAAGAAGTGACACCAATTTTATTTTTATATATTCCCCTCCTCCAGGCAGTTCGGCAGAATCAGATCTCTTAACTCAGGATGTGGATCAGCTTGCATTCTCATAAAGGGGACCAGATCTTTAAACATGCATAGCCTGGAGTTTCCAGGATGGTTCTCCTCGCGCTCTTCAAATGCCGTGGACTAGAAAGGTGCCCACTTTGCTAAAAACTCTACGTCAATGTCCCAGGAGCCCGGAGGCTCTTCAGGCCCCTCTTGAAGACTTAAAGGATGGCACAGAAAAACTTCTTCTCCCTAAACGGGTTTTCTGAAGCCGGAACAGGGGTCAGGAGTGGATCTTCCTTGGCATGCGCTTCACAGTAGGCCATCAAATCTGCAGCTGCCTTGGACACCTGGAAAAGGAGACAAAAACAACCAACACTGGAATCTGGTACAGTCAGTCAAGGCCCAAGGCTTTGGAGCCCAATGTCCTGGCGTCAAATCCTTGCTCCATCGTTGTGTGAAAGTGAAGCAAGATATTCAGCCTCTAAAAGCCTCTGCTTCTTCATCTGCAAAGAAGAAAGTTGATGACACTGACCTCACAGGATTCTTGCCAGCAAGTCTGGGACTGGGTTAAGGTGAGTGAGGCACTTAGGGTGCAAAACCAAAGGAGGCACTCGCTAGCAGGGGCATGCAGGTATCAACCCTGCACTTACACAGCCCCGCGGGTGGCTGTCTCCTTCATTTTTTTTTTTTTTTTTTTTGAGATAGTCTCGCTCGGTTGCCCAGGCTGGAGTGCAGTGGCTTGATCTCGGCTCACTCCTGGGTTCAAGCAATTATCTTGCCTCAGTCACCCTAGTAGCTGGGACTACAGGTGTGTGCCATGGTGCCTGCCTAATCTTTTGTACTTTTGGTGGAGACAGGGTTTCACCATATTAGCCAGGCTGGTCTTGAACTCCTGGCCCCAAGTGATCCATCTGTCTCAGCTTCTGAAAGTGCTGGGATTACAGACTTGAGCCCCTGTGCCCGGTCCTCCTTCACTTTTGTGCTCCGATATCTCATTGCCCCACCCTAGTCCCAGCCCTGGTAACAAGGGTTAAATGAAATAATCCATGTAAATCATTTAGTGTCTGGCACATAGCAAGCTTTCCACACAGGCTAGCCATTATTATCATTTTGTAGCCATGCCTCGGCTTCAGGAGTTGTGCTAGGGATGCTTAAAGCCTTGTCAGTTTCCCTTTTTAAGCAGACATCAGGAGGTATATCTATGTATACACACACTATATAATACATATTTTTATGTATCATATACATTAAAGTGTTATATCTGTGACTTTAACCAAGCATTGTGCCCTTTAGTGATGTTTCACTGGGAGGCTGTCACTGATTCTGGCAATGCTGTCATTTCTTAGAACACATTTGTAGCTGCTTGTTAGGAGTTCCCTGTAGTACCTTCCTTTGACCATCTTCACCAGAGGAAATTTTTACTACATGAGAGAGTGGATTTAGTTTCAGTAAATAAACTAAAAGCCATCTATAGCTACATCTGGGGACTAGGTAAATGATCAACCTGAGGAATCCCATTTGGGGTCAAATTTATGATATAAAAAAACAGATTTCCACATGAAAGCAACACCACTGTACTACTATGAAAGCCTTTCAAGCAACTACTGAAAGGATATCAAGGCAACTACTGAAAGGATAATCTAATGTAAGATTGGGGTGAATTATATTATTACTAAAGATAGTCACTGCCCTTCCCTACAAGTGGGACATACATGCCCACAGGACGACACCAGACTTGCCCAGTGACATAAGCTTGCTCTGGCCAGAGAGACGTGAGCAGAATTTATATGGATAACTTATAGGCAGAAGCTTTCGGAGCCAATGCACAGTTTGCCATGTCCCTTCCTCTATGCCACTTTATCCAACTGAAATAATTTATGAGGAACCCTCCTAACTGATGCAGAGATTTTAACAAATGGCATAGTGGCCATACCCTTGATTTGTTTCTTGTCCCAGGGCTGAGTTGATTAAACCTTTGTCACTCCTACCTCAGCCTCCCGAGTAGCTGAGACTACAGGTGGATGCCACCATGCCTGGCTGTTTTTTCAAACATTTTCTTGCTATGTTGCCCAGGCTGGTCTTGAACGCCTGACCTAAAGCCATTCTCCTGCCTCACCTTCTGGAGTCCTGGGATTACAGATATAAGCCACTGCACCCAGCCTTTGTTACTTAAGGCTACTTCAACTTTATGATTTACTGGTTGGGTAGGGAAATCAGTTTCCTCTTCTCATCCCATAAACCCTTCAGCTTTTTGACTCTCTGTTCCCTTTGCCACAGAACAGATAGAGGCAACATTCCAGACAGAGGCTGCTCTGTCTGCCAGTGTTCCTGATGAAGGTGACACGGTGTGGAGTGGCAGCTGATTTATGATTGACATGTGGTAGGAGTGAGAAGTGTGCCTGTGCTGTGGCAAACCCCCTAAGAATGAAGGGTAGGGCACCTTCTGTTACTACCACAACATCTAGCCAACACTAACTGACACAAAGTGGTACAGGTATTGATTCGTGTATTTGTTTCCTCTGGCTGTCTTGAACAAGTCATCACAAACTGGGTAACTTAAAACAACAGAAATTTATTCTGTTAGAGGCTGGCAGTTTGAAATCAAGGCATCAGCATGGTTGGTCCCTTCTGGAGGCTCTGAGTGAGAATCTGTTCCATGCTTCTCTCCTAGTGTCTGGTGGTTGCTGGCAATCTTTGGTGTCCCTTGGCTTATAGACATATCACTGCAATCTCGATTTTCACATGGAATTCTCTCCTGAGTGTCTGTGTCTTTCTGTGGAATTCTCCTCCCTGTGTGTCCAAATTTCTCATCTCACCAGTTAGAGTTACCGTAATCCAGTATGATTCCTCTTAATTTGATTACATCTACAAATACCTTATTTCCAAGTAAGGTCACATTCTAAGATTCCAGGTAGGCATAAATTTTAGGGGACCCTAGTCAACCCAATACATGATATGTACGTAAAAATCAGTCTCACTCTTTAATAGACATTACAGTACTTATAAAAATATTTTTATTGTGTAATTATTTTGTTCCAGACATTGAGTTAAATTTCCTCTTTTGATCTTCACAGTAATCCTGAGGTAAGAATTATTATCCTCTTTATATAGATGAAAAATTGAGGCTCAGCAGATTATGTAAGTTGTTCAATATCATACAGCAAAGCACACAGCAGAAAAAGAACTTGAACTCGAATGTGTTGCCATTAAGTCACAGCCATCTGCATATAAACTACTCAACTGTGGGCTTTGCTCCAAAGGTTGAAATTGAAATTCTTTATGAAATGCCTCTATGACAAAATGAAAGGAAACAGCCTCTTTATGTCTTAGCTCCCCTACATGAAAACAAAGGACAGACTTTCAGTGTGAAGTGAGATCACTTTTTTTCTTCCTTCTTTCTTCTAGTTTGAGCAATAGTCATTGTTACACCAAACAGGAGCTTAGCTGTTACGCAGCAGAGGCTGTAAATCAGTGATTTCTAAAACTCATTTGTTACGAAGAGAAGCAGCACCGTCCATCCCTACTCATTTGCAACACTCACATACAACTATGTGGCATGAATATTCAAAATCTTTTTATGATACAGGAAGTGCTATACTAGGAAAATTTAATAACTTAGAGTTGCTCACATCTTTATATTTGAACATTTGATTCTGAATGGTTTCCTTCTTAAAATGTATTATGTGTTTTATCTTGTTTCCTCAATGAGATTGCAATCTCCTGTGGGCAATGCTCCAACAGTGTCAGAATCCCAGCAGTAATCAGAATAATTGCTAATATTTATCAGCCCTTGCTATGTGTCAGAACTGTGCTAACCACTTTACATACGGTATCTTATTTAATCCTTACAACAACATTATGGGTCACAAGCTATTATCATTCTCATCTTAAATATGTGAAGTGGAGGCTTCATTAAGTGTTTGCCCCAGGTCCCACAGCTCCTGAGCTACTGAGTTGTGAGTCTCAGTGTCCCTGACTTAATCTTCATGAACATTCCTCCTTTCTAACCTGTGGCTGTCTTCCTTGTCCTTTGCCTTATAATGAGTCACAGCAATAGTCTGCTTAGCGGATCTTTCTGCTTTCTGACAATCCCTGCTAACATTTTGCACACAGCTTCTTTTACATTCCTATGCTTACTTCTACAAAGATTTCCCCACTAACTCCAGAAAATCTCTCCCTTTTCTGACCTGTTGATTCTTCCTCCAGAGATATCTCTAATTTGGCTCCCTTCCTGTTATCTCTATTGCAGCTACCCCAGTTCATACTGCAGTCTTCTCTCTTTGTGATTACTAAAATAACTTTGTAAATAAAAAGCAATTAGTTTGGATTACCCCAGGGGTCCACAGATAGAATTCGGGGGGTGGTATGTGAACTTCAAATAATACAAAAAATTTCCATTTTTATTTTTCACTAACCTCAAATGGAAATTTAGCATTTACTCTCATTATAAATATAGACAACACACTGTAGTAGCCTTAGCAGTACATGTGACTCGGCCACTGATAGAAACCAGATACTTTCAATCATATTATATTCATTGCAGACACCTCAACATTGCATTTATGTTCATCCACCTTATGACTGTAGGCCTATAGATCTTACATAATCAGTTAACAAAGGAGTACGTTTGTATAACTACATCATATATATTTTTAAAAATTGATATTTTAAATATTTTAAAGAATATTATTTAAAATGTTTTATAAAAATATTCTAATGACCCTCATGTCAATATCATCAGTTTCTTTTGTATTTAAAAACATAATTCTGAGAAGGAGACCATAGGCTTCAGCAGACAGGCAATTGAGTCGAGAGCACAAAAATGTTTAATTATCTCAGTTTTAAATGACTTCCTATGTTCATAACTGTGCAGGAGTAGTATTCTCCATACTGTAGCTGGAAAGATATTTTTAAAATATAAGTGGATTCCTATCATTCCCCTATTTAAAGCCTTCAATAACTTTTCATTGTAATTTGTAGAAAACCAAAACTTTGTAAAACAGCCTGTGGGTATTGCCATGTTCTGGGCCTGCCCCTCTCTCCAAGTTCATGTTGTAGCATTCTTCCCTCTCACATATCGCCTTTACTTTTCGAAAGCTCCAAGTTCTTTGTTTGCCTCAGAGTGTCACATATTCAGTATCCTATAACATTCTTCTCATCATCTCCTCAATGGGTTGGCTTCTTATCTTCCTTCAGAAGTCAGCAGAAATACCACCTCCTTGCAGAACCTTCACTGATCGCCTCATCCACAGTGACTTTCCTCATTATTCTCTCAGAGTACTTTCTCACATTCTTTTCTTTCACAGAAAGTTATAAATTGCTATCACAATTTATAATTATGGACATC